TCTATCATTAAGTAGAGCGCGTGCGCCCACCCTCTCCGTGGTAGCAGCTCACGGTGAGCAGCGAATACAGCATTATATGAGGACAAAAATGAAATTTTTAGGTGAATTATACCTTATAAATACAGCATGTGACTCTTTTAACATCATTTGGAGATGTCCATGTCGCTGAGCAATGTGTGTGAAACAATGAAAAAACTTGTGCGGCCGCCTTTGCTTCTCTCCTGAACTTGAAAATATGATTGACAGAATCGTAGAAATGCTGGATTAAGATCGTCTAGGGCAGGGGTCATCAAACTTGTTCCTAGAGGGCCGGTGTCCTGCAGATTTTAACTTCAACCCTAATCAAACACACCTAAGCCAGCTAATCAAGGTCTTACTAGGTATACTTGAAACACCCAGGCAGGTGTGTTTAGGCAAGTTGGAGCTAAACCCTGCAGAGTCACCAGCCCTCCAGGACCAGGATTTGTGACCCCTGGTCAAGGGGGTCGAACCGAGATCGCGATCTTTTTATGATTAATTGTGCAGCTCTAATACACACACCCCTTATGTCTCTTTAGAAAATGCATTTGATTAAAAAAAAAATCTGAAGGCTGAAAAAAGGTTTCTGACCCCTGTTATAGAGCCAAGCTAGAGTTCGACTTTTTTTTTTTTTTTTTTTAATAAAAAATCTTAAAATGTAAACAACTTTTTAAAAACATCCCATAATGCAAATAAACTGTCATTTAATAAGAATTTCATTAACTCAATTTTGACAAAAATGTCATATAGAACCTTATAATTCTAAGGTTAATTGATTATAAGGTGACGAAAAAAGTGACTAGGTGAATTGAATTAACTAAACTGGCCGTAGTGTGAATATGAAAATGTATGGGTGCTTGCCAGTGCTGGGTTGCGGCTGGAAGGGCTGTGTAAAACATATGCTGGATAAGTTGGCAGTTCATTCCGATGTGGTGACCCCTGATGAATAAAGAGACTAAGCCAAAAAGAAAGAGAATAAATGAATGAATGAATGAATGAATGAATGAATAAATATTTTTATAGCATTTTGCCATTCTAACTGAATAGAGTCTGGCGTTTCCATGCATGTACATTAACATTTCTATATATAAAAAATGACACTAATGACAGAATAGTCAGACATGTGGATGATAATTTATTCATATCTTTTTGAATAAATAGTTAGAACATTTATTAAAATGTTTCAGTAATTCTCACCATTTATTGTACTGTACAATTCAACATACATTTTTTAATTGATTCTCTGTCAGTCATTCAACATATTAGATCATTTAATATATCAGATCATACAATCGACATAAATTATTTAACCACAAAGTATAAAGCAGTTTATTCTCCACCGAAAATATTGAACGTCAAAGAAAAAAAGCCGCACTTAAAGGAGACCTATTATGCAAAAATCACCTTTATAAGGGGTTGAAAGGGGCAGCAGTGTGTAAAAATAACCAGCTTCTGATGCAAAAAAAAAATAAATAAATAGTTTTATTAGTTATAATCACACTTGATGAAATCAGTCTGCAGAAACACTTTGATTGACATTCTCCCTTTGAACGTGTCATCAGAGGGGGAAAGCCCCGCCCACTAGTGACCATCTCTCCCTCATTAGCATAGGATGTTAAGTCTTTTTTTTAAATGTGCCACTATGCTGACACAGGCGTTTGTAGCTCCGCCCTCTTTTGAAAAGACCCCAATCTCATTTGAATTTAAAGCGACAGTCACCAAAACACCACAATTAGGATCAAAGCCTAAAAGGGTCCGTTTTAGAGAGTTATAAAACATTATATGTGTGGTATTTTGAGCTGAAACTTCACATTTCATACCCTTGGGATATCAGAGACTTAGGCCCCATTTACACTAGTGCGTTTTAGTTTTAAAATGGCGTTTTAGATCAAAAACCGCGTCCACACTAGCGTTTCACCTTGCGTTTCTGAACATATCTCCGTCCACACTACGCCACCAAAAACGTATATCACGTGATCATTCGCGCACTCTGGGCATGCGCGTTCTAGTATAAACAGGAAGCATGCGTCTCGCTCGGCATTTGGTTATTGTTAGTCAACAAATGCCGGTTGAACAATGAACGCGATGGCAAAGAAAGCAAGAGAGGTATTTTTGTGGACAGACGACGAGGTCGAGTTGTTACTAAACGTAACAAATGAATAACTGCACAATGGTGCCTAAAACAGACAATAGTGCAAACAACACTCCCATTTCTGTGTCAGTGTTGTTGTTTACAGTAAAGGCTGGTCTGCTGTCTTCCGGTAGCGTTAAAGACATGTGTTATAGTCAACCCGGGCTCATTGTGGAAATGTAGTCCCGCGGACGTTTCTGGAGACCGCGGAATACGCGGCTGGTATGTATGGCTGCAGTTTTTGTTTTCGCGAATCCGCGAGAGGCCGCTGTTGCGTGCTTTTTCGCGTCTCAGACGCCTCTCGTGAGTGCGGTTCGCGCCTGCGCTGTTCTTGTGTGAACCAGCCGGAGGCCGCTGTCCGACTGACCGAATGATTGACTGCGCGACCGGCAAATCGGTCGACCCGCCCTCCTCCTTCTCTGAACCCAACCAATTTTACCGATCGACCCGCCTGCAGGCTTGCTTCCCTAAACCCCGAGCGAAAGTTTACAAAAAGCCGTGCAAAAAAATAAAAGCCCTGATTTTTTTTCTACCGCATTTTCGGATTTTGCTGTATTCTCACCCTGTCACGAAACTCGTTCACTTAATTTTTGGGATTCTGTTTTTGTCTTACCTGATTGCTGGAACCGCTCTTCCCCGGACTCGAAACCGATCGCCGTGGTCGACTCCTCTCTGCATCTCGAGCCTGCCGACGCACACGGTGAGCTGAGTAGACAAACGGGTTGCAGCGGGGAAGCCGTCCACAAGGGGGTAAGCGGTCGGCCGGCAAGCGCGATAGGAAACAGCGTCACACCACCCCTTAGCATTCACTTGAAAAAAATAACGTTCCCGCCGGGACGTATTCCGCTGTCTCCAGAAACGTCCGCGGGACTACGTTTTCAGAATGAGCTTGGGTTGGTTATAGTCATGTGATAGGGGCTTGACGAATAAGCGAAGGATACGCAATGACACAAAAGCCCCAATCAGGTAGTGAATCTCAGCAGCCCCGCCTCCGTTTTCAGATGTCTTCGTTTTCCCTTATCCACACTGAGACGGAGCAGCAGTGTTTCAGAATGAAAACGGCCTCTCCAGCATTTCCAAAACACTCCGTTTTCGGCGCTCGAAAACTCCAGCGTAGTGTGGACGGATGGCGTAACCATAGCAAAACTTATGCGTTTTCAAACTAAAATGCATTAGTGTAAACGGGACCTTATTTTAGACCTTGTAAAAAGGAGCATGATAGGTCTCCTTTAGATTAAACTCATAATTCAATAAAGTCTGAATGCCCAACACAGCAAATGCCCTGTATCCATGTAAAACGACAACCAGAAATCAAACATTACAAAAATAAATCAGCATACATGTAAATCAACAGAGAATCAATGTTTTCTGTGATATCACATCACTATCAGTGAGCAACAGACACTAATCTACTGATTATGACACACATGTGCGATGCTAAATTCAACCACTAAAGCAAATACTGGACAGAACCCACACTGCCATAGCGACGAAGACAACTGAGGATGCGTTTGTGAGCGAAGGCGGTGTGTTTTCAGTCTAAACACCCAGCCTGAAATAAAGTGCACTCACGAAAATCCTGATATCCTACAGCACAAGAACACACTTTTCACATTGATCATGCACGACAATGCCAGTGACAACACTGAGGTGAACGTTAAAGAGAAGAGCTCCACATGCCACACACAAATACAGACGAGGTTTCCTCATGGTAAGGTAAAGGGAGAGAGGAAAATCCTTTGAATTTAATCCATATTAATGTAGTATACATTTTTATTTTCCCAAATGCAAGACAACCGCCTGGATTTTTGCAGAAACGTCTGATTTTGAGCAATTTAATTTGATTTTGAACATCTGAATTAGCAGTTTTACGTATTTTATGATTCATGACATGTTCTCTCTGCTTTTGAATTGCATTATGGGAACTTGAGCTTAATTTTCTCAACGAATTTTCACCTTGAAAAGTTGGAAAAAGTGACTTTTATAAACGTTTGTAATAGTTTAAAGTGCTATATTGTCTGTGTTGGTGTTGTATATTACGCTACTCACTTAAAACAGTTGGGTTAAATAGTAACCCAGCAGGTAAACCAATGATGGGTCATTTTGGCACCAACCTGCTGTTGAGTTATTTTAACCCAATTCAAGAATTCACACTTAGCTGATGTTTGATTATAAAGCTTGTTTGGCATGCTGTCCCAGGAGAGAGCCCTGAGCTCATAAGATCCTCGAGCCCGGGGTCAAGTCGCATGTTTTTGGATGGTGGGAGAAAACCGGGGAACCCAGGAGAAACCCACGTCTGCACAGGGAGAACGTGTAAATTCCGCACAGAAACATTAGCTGGCTTGGTAAGGACTAGAACCAGTGACGTTCTTGCTGTGAGGCAAAAGTGCTAACCACTGGGCCACTGTGCCACCCTTCTAGGAAAGCAGGAAGAGTAGGGGGGGGAAGGGAGGATTCTTCAAAACGAAGATGGCTGTTATATGAAGCTCAGGGTGTTTACAGTGGAATAGGAATCGTCTGATTGGTGAATCATAACTTGAATAATACGGGACCAGCTGCAAGCAACCATAAGCACGTGATCCTCTCAAAATTAGTTTATAAATACACTTCACTACATTGAGTTGTTAAGATTAACCCAACAATTTGGATTACAAAAATAACTAATTTGTTGGGTTATTTTGCCAAAAAGTGGCTTAACCACTATATAATAATTTATTATTATTATTATTATTATTATTATTATTATTATTATTATTGGGTTGATGTCTCCGCTTGGTCCTAAAGGTGAGAATGACGGCCGAATATCTTAAATATGTGTAACATTTCCTCCAAAAAAAAAAAAAACTGTAAATATGGACATGTAGGTAGAGAAAGCGTTTTTATTCATATATAGATTGACTATGAGGCGCGCATTTGTATCATCAAATTAAGAGTTCTGGAAAAACGGATATAAAAAACACGCCACGGAGAGGCAGTTTGATTAAAAAAATAACAACAATTTTATCAACGCAATCTCACGGCAATTCGTAACTTTTTGATTTAGTGGCTAATTCAAACGATATAATTCAAAGAATTTAGTACGATTTGCTCATCCCCTAATGACGGTTGGGTTTAGGAGTGGGTTTTGGTGCCACACCTCCTTTTTAAAATCGTACAATTTTGTACGACTGAACACGTACGAATTCCTACGAATTAGCCACTAAACTGGCAAAACGTCAAATACTTAAGTTTTCTCGTGAGATCAGGCTGATTTTATCTCGTCAGACCCAGGGGCGGATTTTGTGATTTGGGGCCCTAAGCAATTCGAGTCAAAGGGTTCTGAAATGCACACTCTCTAATTTTATTTAATATTTATTTATATTCATGTTTTTTTTATATCACTCAATTTTCTTATGGACATTTCAAATTTATGCAAGCTCTACATTTTAAATGATTTGTTTTCTTAAAATGAATTTACAGCTAAAAATAATACATATATAATTTAAAAAATAAATTTGATTGCTGGACTGCCCCATGATGGATATTTTATTTTGTAATATTATTATTACATAAAATGACATTATTATTATAATAATATTATATTTGATTGTATATTAAATAATATTAAATTACATTAAAATTGTATTTGTTTAACTCTCACCATACAAAATATGTTAGAAAATGATGTTATATATAGTTTATAGGTATAATTTATACTTCTAGACATTTATTAGGGGCCTAAGCGGCCGCTTCATTTGCTTATTGGTTAAATCCGCCCCTGGTTAGACCTTAAATAAACTTTAGAATGCAAAAACAACATTACTTACGCATTTAATACAACTGTTCTGTGTCAGGTAAATCAGTTGACTGTTGAAATTCTACATGTTTGACCCAACTGGTTGAGTTATTAAATAAATAACCAAACAAAGGCTAAAATTAACCCAGCAAAGCACCAAATATTTAACCCAACTGTTCAGGTTACTAATAAAAAACCCAATAAAGGTTACAAATAACCCCAAAAAAGCCAATAGTATCTGGATGCAGCCTTTATGATGCAAGCTGAAATTGCATTGCTCAGAGATGCAATGTCAAACACAATGCACTCAATGGAGCTAGTGACGTCACTGTGAGGGTTAGGGTTAGGGGTGGTGTAAGGTGAGCACATTAAAAAGCATTGGATGCAGCTCAGATTGCATCTGCACCAAGTCTGCAGCCAATGCAACCAATGATTTGGTCACACTTTACAATAAGGTTCATTAGTTAATGTTAATTAATGCATTTACTAACATGAACAAACAATGAACAATACATTTACTACTGTATTTGTTCATGTTCGCTAACGTTAGTTAATGAAAATACAGTTGTTCATTGTTAGCTCATGTTAACTCATGGTGCATTAACTAATGTTAACCAGCATGGACTTGGAAGTTAATAATGCATCAGTAAATGTTTAATTAAGATTAATAAATGCTGTACATGTGATGTTCATGATTAGTTCATGTTAGTAAATGCATTAACTAATGAACCTTATTGTAAAGTGTTACCAATGATTTAATTAAATAACCCAAAAACAATTTAGTGTACAAAAGCCCTGTAATAAACTGCCAGTACATTTATTAGCCTGATATTTCACAAAGTTGTTTCTCTCTATATAATTTATTATACATTATATTATTTCAAACTACTAAAATGTCAATAAAAGTCACTTTGTTGAACTGTAGAGTTGAATTTTCAGCATCAAAAGTCGACAGAGCAGAGATCAACATCCCATAATGCAATTCACAACCGTCAATAAACAATTAACATCACAAAATACGGAAACTGTTCATTAACAGATCCTTTTTACAGTGTAGTATCACTACAGAACTGTTCAACCAGATTGTCACACACACACACACACACACACACACTCAAACATACGATACGGTAAGAAATTAAACTAGATATGAAGCCACAGTATTCGTCCAGGACGCCTCACTTCAGGTCTCCAGAATCTCCCTGGATGGTTTTCTTGATACGGAGCAACATGGTGGTCTGCCATTGGTCCAGACGAGAGATCGAGTCAAACTCCTTCACCTGGAAGAGTTAAACACATCAAAATGAGCAGAAATCTATGAGCATTTCTACTCTTTCGGCTTTATAATAGACCTGAGGTGATTACTAAACAAGTTCCTGTGAAATTACAATAACGTTTTTTAGATGTTATCAGTATGTTAGCCTTAAAGTGCACACGAGATCAAAACCATATTGATTTTGTTAGCCCACATTACCACTTTTGTAGTCCTTGAAGGGTCATGAAACACCAAAACACATTTTTTTTGAGCTGCTGACAGTCGTATACGTGTCCCACACTGCTAAAAACACTATTAGGACACCTATATTTCACTAAAAAGTGGAAATTGGTTGTTTTTGTGTTATTTCGAGCAGATTCGTACTTCCGGTTTAAAACAAATTTTTTAAGCTGCGTCACGGCCATGAGATCTTAGCATGTATTCCAGCCAGTAGACTGGACGTCTGTACCTGGGAGTGCCTTATTACGTCTCTTGAGTGTTTTGCATTCATTCATGAGAAAGACTTGGTTCAAACCAATCAGCGCGCTCTATTGTGTATGCGGTGCAACTTCATTAATATGCATGATAGCTTCCAACACTGTTTTTACATGTACAGTAGTGATGGGAAGTTTGGATCATTTTACTGACTCGGATCTTTGAGTCTCATTCATCGAGATGAACGAATCTTTTTGCGAGTCATTTCGTTCATTTGGTTCAATTTACCAAAATATTATTAAAATGTAACGAACTGCTTCCAAACACATCTACAACTAGCCCGAAAGGTTGATCACATGACAAATAAGTCATAAATAGAATATAAGAAGGAGAAAATAATAATTCAATGTTTACCTGCTCTTTTGTCTATGAAGGTATTGTTGTCTCTTTGCTCAGCTCACCTCTTCATGTCTTCAAATGTCAGTGGTTTGTTCACGTTACACTGACAGTCTCATATAATCTTAACCAGTGTACACAGTCTGAGCCGACAGGAGCCATGATGATTAGTTCACCGTTCAATTTTTTTTCCGGCTCTAAACGCATATGATTGGCCCGTGATGAACGAATGACTCAAACCCGATGGAGGACTCGAGAGGTGAACGCATCAATTATTTTTCCGGCTCTAAACGCATATGATTGGCTTCTGCCTTTCCGTGATGAATGACTCAAAAGACTTGAAATGAACGATACCACCTGCACAAATGTGCGCACTCACTGATGAACGAATCACTCCCTGAGAGGACTCGTAGTTTGCGAGTCATATTGAAGATTCGTTCAAAATGAACGAATCGTTCATGAACGACCCATCACTAATGTACAGTGTTCAGACATCAATGAGACGCCGCGTTGTGTTGCCAAGTGGGAGAACATGAATTGTGTGGACATCAGTGTTGCTTTTATAATTTGCAGCAGTGAAGGTTTTGTTTTCATTTTGCCGCTATGAGAGCGGGACTCAGGTGTGGATTACAGTGCACGCGATGCGCCATAGAAATACGTGTCTAAGGAACATTGTTTACCCGAGAGTTTTTCTCATCTGGAAATGGTGAAATCCGTATTTGCTGCTCGTGTCCTTTTAATAAAGACGCGGCTCTAGTTGGTGTTGATTGTCTTGTCTCTACAGATTTGGTAAGTGAGCGATCAGTGCTCTTTATTTGTTTATTCAGAGGCAAAGGTAGTTCATATCGTCAGCAGTACTCTTTCAGTGTTTGAAGACAGACCTTAGTCAAATAATTTTTAAGTTAATAAAGTTTACAGTACGTTATTATCACTACAATATTATGGACTGAACAATCTACTGTAAATGATGCTCTCCGAGTGTAAACATGTAAACACCGCAATCAAACTTACCGTCGAAGAGGAATTTCACCGCATTTTGTAACAGGAATAACACACATGGCTTTCTGACGATATTTACCAAGTGCATCTAAGTTACGGAGAAATGCTGAGGTTTTTTTCTCTCATTCGCCTTGCGGTATCAAACATTGCATGAAAGATACACGCTTCCAGCAGTTCCTCGAATCAAATATCTCGTTTGTTATGAGGGGCATGCATGAAAATCCTGAATGAAAGAGCCAAACTGCAGTTAAAGTCCACCATTTAATAATTTGTCAAATAATTCGACTACTGATGTCCATGTAAACACAGTCACTGTCTTTCTCCTCTGCGTCTATGTTTGTTTTGCCTCTGTGAAAATCAGCGAGTGCCCAAACCGACACTCCCATTTTTATGCAAATTTTTTTCAGACCCTCCCTCTTTCCCTCCTCCGACACTCCCCCCTAAACAGAGCTAGACACGCCCACTTTCCTGACTTTTTCCAAAGTAGAGGTGTGAAAAAACCCTGCTGAATCAAGGGGGTTTCATGCCCCTTTAAAAAAAATGTAAATAACTTTTATCACAAGACACTTTTTCAACTTTTAAATAACCTTTAGTGCACTGGAAATGCTTCATGGATGTTTATTTTGTAAACAAGATATTAGTCTTATTTAAGAGTCTTGAGTATGATCATTTATTGACACAAAAAGGTTATAAACTTACAGCCTCGGTGAACGCCTCGCTGTTCTGTTCCTCATGAGCCTCCAATAGTTTCTGTGCAGAAAGACCAAACACATAAAGACAAGCTGCACTTCCAGTTAAATCATCCTTAAAGTAATGTATTTCTGACTAGAAGAAGAAGCTTGCTGTCATGTTCACCAGCGATCGAGAACTACAAATCCCTTCATTTCGCTACACATACACCGGGTTTCACTTCCGCTGATCACACATGCCGCAGAATCTTGTCACTATTGATAGCTTGGACTATTTACACACCCTGCACCCATTTGTTGTTACTGAGTCGTTTGATTTTGTACAAACGTTAGAGGCCATGGTATTTAGCCTCCTTGGGAGAGCAATTGACTCCCATGCGGAAGGATGCCAGTTCGATACTAGCTCGGAGCGGGTTGGGTGGCGTAGGAACGGCGGGGTTGCATTGGTGCTGTGACCCGGATGGGAGTGAGGTTTAGGGGGGTGAGTGTAGCGGAGGCCAGCTAGTGTGTGCTGTGCAGGTAAACCTCACTCCTCTGACCTCTAAAGGTACTCTGGCGACACACACTAGAGACCATGCTCTTTAGCCTCCTTGTTAGAGCAACCGACTCCCATGCAGAAGGTTGCCAGTTCGATACCAGCTCGGAGCGGGTTGGGTGGTGTAAGATCGGCAGGGTTACATTTACACATTAAAGTAATGAAGAGTGCTTGACTAGCCCATTGTTTTAATAGTATGTCAACAAAGTTTTTGTTTAAATAACAAATTTCTTCCTTATTGTACATGAAGGTCAATGCTGAAATTTGTTACAAAAGAAGATGAGGTGGAATGACCAGGGGCCTCATGTATCAATGCTGCGTACGCACAAAAACTTTGCGTACGCCAGGTTTCACGCTCAGAATCGCTCACGTTTGGATTTACTAACAATGAACTGAACGTGGGAATGTGCGCAGCTTCACGGCAGCTTTCTGGCTGGCGTACGCACATTTTTTGTGCGTGTCTGTTTTATTTCCATTGGCGACTCCTAGAGGCAGTTGTGTTAAATTCTTCTCTACAAAGTGTCTGAGCCTTGCAATGGTAGCTGTATGAGACGGGTTCATATAGTAGGTATGTAAGATTTCCATACCATACAGTTGACCAGCTAAACATTAAAGCACAATTTGCAGCGGTCGCCTGTTTTCCCAATGTAATCTGAGCTATTTACCACACGCACATTGCTATAAAGACACTATCTGAAGATGAGTTTGCATGCGTGAATCAGAAACATTTCCATTCAATAAATGTGCAAATAAAATATGATGCACAAACTTATTAATGATTCCTACTTGTCTTTCTCTTGATAAATAGTGGGCAAAATCTGATATGTAGCGGGGGAAAAAAGAAAGAATTCATTAAACGCTGGATTCGAGCCAAGTTTATGCTCGAACATGTCAGTACATGATCAAATGCTTTTTATGAGGTGCGCCACTGAGACTGCTAAGGGTACTGCAACATTTTTCAGTTATAAACCACACTATTTCTTTTTTAAATGCACTCAGTGCGATGTTCAGACCCAACTGTGTTGACCGCAGCAGCTAAACTCTCCCACTCTACTTTTTTTCTTTTGTTGTTAATTCCGGAGAACAAACTTGCAAATAACACCGCTTTTCTACCTTCGAAAGCAGCACTTCCAATTCACATTCTGTTCAAAGTTTCTCTTTTTGCTTGATTTTGCCGTTGCTTTTTCGTTGGGTTTTGCCATTAGCATAGTCATTAGCATATTCATACGGGGGAGGAGGCAGCGAGGGGTTTTGTGCTCGTGCATGTTGCGCTCAGTTTCACGTTCATTCAGATGTACAAAAGAATATGCGTGAGATTCGGCGTACGCAGTGTTTCATACATCTGAATTTTTTTCTGCGTACGCACATTTACAGCTTTGTGCGTACGCAATGTTTTAGTAAGATTTCCACGCAAGTCTTCGTACATGAGGCCCCAGCACTGCTCCAGAGGCACCAGCAGCTGCACAGGTACAGACAGAGGCTGCAGTACTGAGGACCATCCATCTCTATAGGTACAGAGAGCGTTTATTCCTTACCTTTTGTAAATGTTTGAAATTAGGAATGTTTCTGCAGAAGACATGTCAGTGTTTATTTTGATGTAAACTTATTTTGTAATGTAATTATGTGAACTTTTAAAGAGTAGATTTGAGTGCTCAAATGTATATTTAAGTATATAAATAAATAAATACCTGTTTAATTACATATGTTTGTGTTTTTTTTTTGTTCCTCTTTGGGGGCCTCACAGTAAAATTTTGCATAGGGCACCCTTTTGGCCAGCAGAAGTCCTGCTTGATTTATTTATTATTGTTATTTGATACGTTGATTTTTGGATGACCCTTTCTTTTTCTGTTATCTAAACTCATCTGCTCACTACAATCACTCTCTTGCAAACTATTCTGAATTTCTGACTCTGAATTTCTGGAAAATGTTTTAAATAAAGACAAAAAAAAAAAGTCAAAATACTGTGGCATAAGTCATTTGTAGTTCATGTTTGACTTTAATTTCTGTAAATTAGGTTTAAGCAAACATGATTATTATGAGGGGTGAAGCAGTGGCGCAGTAGGTAGTGCTGTCGCCTCACAGCAAGAAAGTCGCTGGTTCGAGCCTCGGTTGGTGTTCTTCCTGCATTCGCGTGGGTTTCTCCGGGTGCTCTGGTTTCCCCCACAGTCCAAAGACATGCGGTACAGGTGAATTGGGTAGGCTAAATTGTCCGTAGTGTATGAGTGTGTGTGTGAATGAGTGTGTGGATGTTTCCCAGAGATGGGGTGCGGTTGGAAGGGCATCCGCTGCATAAAAACTTGCTGGTTAAGTTGGCGGTTCATTCCACTGTGGTGACCCCGGATTAATAAAGGGACTAAGCCGACAAGAAAATGATTGAATGAATGAATGATTATTATGAATGTTTAAGAATAGTAATTTTCTGCAGTAATCCAAACTGAATTATAAAATCCTATTGGTTTGTCACATCGTGGATGCTACAGTACATTCCTTTGAAATATAAAACACACAGGTGTACTTACTTTCAACAGCTTGCATTCTCTTGAGTCAGAGAAAGCTGGAAACATCCCTTCATACTTCTCAATTGCGAGCTGAAAGAAGAAAAACCGACACAGAAACCGACATAAAATATTTGTTAGATGAGCGATTTTATGTCTGGAGTAATTGATAAATTAATCATTTCTACATTGGTCTCGGTAAATTAAAATGTTTTCTGCATTAAAGCCACTTGGTGTTAGTGCAAAATAAGACAACTGCAAAATCAGACACTTTAAAGTCACCAAGAAACGGAAGTTAAGATTGTCCTGTGTTCCTCTATTGTGATAGGCGTCCACATGTGTCCCCCCAAATGATTGATAGCCACACCCTAAATGTCTGACAGCACCTACATGACTGATAGTCCCGCCCTACATTATTGATAGCCCCGCCCTAAAGGACTGATAGTTCCACCCTAAATGTCTGATAGCACCTTACTAAATGACACTGATAGCCCTACCTTACATGAATGATAGTCCCGCCCCACATTATTGATAGCCCCGCCCTAAAAGATTGATAGCTCCACCCTAAATGACACTGATAGCTCCACCCTAAATGGCACTGATAGTCCCACCTTAAATGGCTTACAGTTCTGTCCTAAGTGACTGATAGTTCCCCTCTAAATGACTGATAGTCCCGCCCTAAATGACTGATAGTCCCGCCCTAAATGACTGATAGTCCCACCCTAAATTACTGATAGTCCCGCCCTAAATTATTGATTGTCCCTCCCTAAATGGCTTACAGTTCTGTCCTAAGTGACCGATAGTTCCCCTCTAAATGACTGATAGTCCCACCCTAAATTACTGATAGTCCCGCCCTAAATTACTGATAGTACCGCCCTAAATTACTGATAGTCCCGCCCTAAAGTACTGATAGTCCCGCCCTAAAGTACTGATAGTCCCTTCCTAAACGACTTACAGTCCTGTCCTAAATGACTGATAGTTCCCTTCTAAATGACTGATAGTCCTACCTTAAAGGACTGATAGTCCCGCCCTAAATTATTGATAGTCACGTCCTAAATTACACTGACAGCCCCTCCCTAGATGACTAATAGCCCCGCCCTAAATTACTGAAAGTCCCGCCCTAAATGACTGATAGTCCCTCCCTAAATGTCTGATAGCACCTTCCTAAACGACACTGATAGCCCTACCTTACATTAATGATAGTCCCGCCCTACATTATTGATAGCCCCGCCCTAAAGGACTGATAGCTCCACCCTAAATGACTGATAGTCCCAACCTAAATAACTGATAGTCCCTTCCTAAATGACTTAAAGTCCTGTCCTAAATGACTGATTGTTCCCCTCTAAATGATTGATAGCCCCACTCTACATGACTGATAGTTCCCTTCTAAATGACTGATGGTCCTACCCTAAAGGACTGATAGTCCTACCCTAAATAACTGACAGTCCCGCTCTAAATTACTGATAGTCCCGCCATAAATGACTGATAGTCCCGTCCCAAATTACACTGATAGCCCCTCCCTGGATGGCTGAGAGCACAGCCCTAATTCACTGATAGGGCCCTCTTAACTGATGTTATGCCCTAGATGACTAATAG